AGTGAGGTGAGGGGAAGGAAGGCACATGGAAGGTGCAGAGCGAGGTGAGGGGAAGGAAGGCACATGGAAGGTGCAGAGTGAGGTGAGGGGAAGGAAGGCACATGGAAGGTGAAAAGTGAGGTGAGGGGAAGGAAGGCACATGGAATGTGCAGAGTGAGGTGAGGGGAAGGAAGGCACATGGAATCTGCAGAGTGAGGTGAGGGGAAGGAAGGCACATGGAATGTGCAGAGTGAGGTGAGGGGAAGGAAGGCACATGGAATCTGCAGAGTGAGGTGAGGGGAAGGAAGGCACATGGAAGGTGCAGAGCGAGGTGAGGGGAAGGAAGGCACATGGAATGTGCAGAGTGAGGTGAGGGGAAGGAAGGCACATGGAATGTGCAGAGTGAGGTGAGGGGAAGGAAGGCACATGGAATCTGCAGAGTGAGGTGAGGGGAAGGAAGGCACATGGAAGGTGCAGAGCGAGGTGAGGGGAAGGAAGGCACATGGAAGGTGCAGAGTGAGGTGAGGGGAAGGAAGGCACATGGAAGGTGCAGAGTGAGGTGAGGGGAAGGAAGGCACATGGAAGGTGCAGAGTGAGGTGAGGGGAAGGAAGACACATGGAATGTGCAGAGTGAGGTGAGGGGAAGGAAGGCACATGGAATGTGCAGAGTGAGGTGAGAGGAAGGAAGACACATGGAATGTGCAGAGTGAGGTGAGGGGAAGGAAGGCACATGGAAGGTGCAGAGTGAGGTGAGGGGAAGGAAGGCACATGGAAGGTGCAGAGTGAGGTGAGGGAAAGGAAGGCACATGGAATGTGCAGAGTGAGGTGAGGGGAAGGAAGGCACATGGAATGTGCAGAGTGAGGTGAGGGGAAGGAAGGCACATGGAATGTGCAGAGTGAGGTGAGAGGAAGGAAGACACATGGAATGTGCAGAGTGAGGTGAGGGAAAGGAAGGCACATGGAATGTGCCGAGTGAGGTGAGAGGAAGGAAGGCACATGGAATGTGCAGAGTGAGGTGAGGGGAAGGAAGGCACATGGAAGGTGCAGAGTGAGGTGAGGGGAAGGAAGGCACATGGAATGTGCAGAGTGAGGTGAGGGGAAGGAAGGCACATGGAATCTGCAGAGTGAGGTGAGGGGAAGGAAGGCACATGGAAGGTGCAGAGCGAGGTGAGGGGAAGGAAGGCACATGGAAGGTGCAGAGTGAGGTGAGGGGAAGGAAGGCACATGGAAGGTGAAAAGTGAGGTGAGGGGAAGGAAGGCACATGGAATGTGCAGAGTGAGGTGAGGGGAAGGAAGGCACATGGAATGTGCAGAGTGAGGTGAGGGAAAGAAAGGCACATGGAATGTTCAGAGTGAGGTGAGGGGAAGGAAGGCACATGGAATGTGCAGAGGGAGGTGAGGGGAAGGAAGGAGGCACATGGAATGTGCAGAGTGAGGTGAGTGGAAGGAAGGCACATGGAATCTGCAGAGTGAGGTGAGGGGAAGGAAGGCACATGGAAGGTGCAGAGCGAGGTGAGGGGAAGGAAGGCACATGGAAGGTGCAGAGTGAGGTGAGGGGAAGGAAGGCACATGGAAGGTGAAAAGTGAGGTGAGGGGAAGAAAGGCACATGGAATGTGCAGAGTGAGGTGAGGGGAAGGAAGGCACATGGAATGTGCAGAGCTAGGTGAGGGAAAGGAAGGCACATGGAATGTGCAGAGTGAGGTGAGGGGAAGGAAGGCACATGGAATGTGCAGAGTGAGGTGAGGGAAAGGAAGGCACATGGAATGTGCAGAGTGAGGTGAGGGGAAGGAAGGCACATGGAATGTGCAGAGTGAGGTGAGGGAAAGGAAGGCACATGGAATCTGCAGAGTGAGGTGAGGGGAAGGAAGGCACATGGAAGGTGCAGAGCGAGGTGAGGGGAAGGAAGGCACATGGAAGGTGCAGAGTGAGGTGAGGGGAAGGAAGGCACATGGAATGTGCAGAGTGAGGTGAGGGAAAGGAAGGCACATGGAATGTGCAGAGTGAGGTGAGGGGAAGGAAGGCACATGGAATGTGCAGAGTGAGGTGAGTGGAAGGAAGGCACATGGAATGTGCAGAGGGAGGTGAGGGAAAAGAAGGCATATGGAATGTGCAGAGTGAGGTGAGGGGAAGGAAGGCACATGGAAGGTGCAGAGTGAGGTGAGGGAAAGGAAGGCACATGGAATGTGCAGAGTGAGGTGAGGGGAAGGAAGGCACATGGAAGGTGCAGAGTGAGGTGAGGGGAAGGAAGGCACATGGAAGGTGCATAGTGAGGTGAGGGGAAGGAAGGCACATGGAAGGTGCAGAGCGAGGTGAGGGGAAGGAAGGCACATGGAAGGTGCAGAGTGAGGTGAGGGGAAGGAAGGCACATGGAAGGTGAAAAGTGAGGTGAGGGGAAGGAAGGCACATGGAATGTGCAGAGTGAGGTGAGGGGAAGGAAGGCACATGGAATGTGCAGAGTGAGGTGAGGGGAAGGAAGGCACATGGAATGTGCAGAGTGAGGTGAGGGGAAGGAAGGCACATGGAATGTGCAGAGTGAGGTGAGGGAAAGAAAGGCACATGGAATGTGCAGAGTGAGGTGACGGGAAGGAAGGCACATGGAAGGTGCAGAGTGAGGTGAGGGAAAGGAAGGCACATGGAATGTGCAGAGTGAGGTGAGGGGAAGGAAGGCACATGGAACGTGCAGAGTGAGGTGAGGGGAAGGAAGGCACATGGAATGTGCAGAGTGAGGTGAGGGGAAGGAAGGCACATGGAATGTGCAGAGTGAGGTGAGGGGAAGGAAGGCACATGGAATGTGCAGAGTGAGGTGAGGGGAAGGAAGGCACATGGAATGTGCAGAGTGAGGTGCGGGAAGGAAGGCACATGGAATGTGCAGAGTGAGGTGAGGGGAAGGAAGGCACATGGAATGTGCAGAGTGAGGTGAGGGGAAGGAAGGCACATGGAAGGTGCAGAGTGAGGTGAGGGGAAGGAAGGCACATGGAATGTGCAGAGTGAGGTGAGGGGAAGGAAGGCACATGGAATGTGCAGAGTGAGGTTAGGGGAAGGAAGGCACATGGAATGTGCAGAGTGAGGTGAGGGAAGGAAGGCACATGGAATGTGCAGAGTGAGGTGAGGGGAAGGAAGGCACATGGAATGTGCAGAGTGAGGTGAGGGAAAGGAAGGCACATGGAAGGTGCAGAGTGAGGTGAGGGAAAGGAAGGCACATGGAAGGTGCAGAGTGAGGTGAGGGAAAGGAAGGCACATGGAATGTGCAGAGTGAGGTGAGGGGAAGGAAGGCACATGGAATGTGCAGAGTGAGGTGAGGGGAAGGAAGGCACATGGAAGGTGCAGAGTGAGGTGAGGGGAAGGAAGGCACATGGAAGGTGCAGAGTGAGGTGAGGGGAAGGAAGGCACATGGAATGTGCAGAGTGAGGTGAGGGAAAGGAAGGCACATGGAATGTGCAGAGTGAGGTGAGGGGAAGGAAGGCACATGGAATGTGCAGAGTGAGGTGAGGGAAAGGAAGGCACATGGAATGTGCAGAGTGAGGTGAGGGGAAGGAAGGCACATGGAAGGTGCAGAGTGAGGTGAGGGGAAGGAAGGCACATGGAAGGTGCAGAGTGAGGTGAGGGGAAGGAAGGCACATGGAAGGTGCAGAGTGAGGTGAGGGAAAGGAAGGCACATGGAATGTGCAGAGTGAGGTGAGGGGAAGGAAGGCACATGGAATGTGCAGAGTGAGGTGAGGGAAAGGAAGGCACATGGAATGTGCAGAGTGAGGTGAGGGGAAGGAAGGCACATGGAAGGTGCAGAGTGAGGTGAGGGGAAGGAAGGCACATGGAATGTGCAGAGTGAGGTGAGGGGAAGGAAGGCACATGGAATGTGCAGAGTGAGGTGAGGGGAAGGAAGGCACATGGAAGGTGCAGAGTGAGGTGAGGGAAAGGAAGGCACATGGAATGTGCAGAGTGAGGTGAGGGGAAGGAAGGCACATGGAATGTGCAGAGTGAGGTGAGGGAAAGGAAGGCACATGGAATGTGCAGAGTGAGGTGAGGGGAAGGAAGGCACATGGAAGGTGCAGAGTGAGGTGAGGGGAAGGAAGGCACATGGAATGTGCAGAGTGAGGTGAGGGGAAGGAAGGCACATGGAATGTGCAGAGTGAGGTGAGGGGAAGGAAGGCACATGGAAGGTGCAGAGTGAGGTGAGGGAAAGGAAGGCACATGGAATGTGCAGAGTGAGGTAAGGGAAAGGAAGGCACATGGAATGTGCAGAGTGAGGTGAGGGGAAGGAAGGCACATGGAATGTGCAGAGTGAGGTGAGGGGAAGGAAGGCACATGGAATGTGCAGAGTGAGGTGAGGGAAAGGAAGGCACATGGAATGTGCAGAGTGAGGTGAGGGGAAGGAAGGCACATGGAAGGTGCAGAGTGAGGTGAGGGGAAGGAAGGCACATGGAAGGTGCAGAGTGAGGTGAGGGGAAGGAAGGCACATGGAAGGTGCAGAGTGAGGTGAGGGGAAGGAAGGCACATGGAAGGTGCAGAGTGAGGTGAGGGGAAGGAAGGCACATGGAAGGTGCAGAGTGAGGTGAGGGGAAGGAAGGCACATGGAATGTGCAGAGTGAGGTGAGGGGAAGGAAGGCACATGGAATGTGCAGAGTGAGGTGAGGGAAGGAAGGCACATGGAAGGTGCAGAGTGAGGTGAGGGAAAGGAAGGCACATGGAATGTGCAGAGTGAGGTGAGGGGAAGGAAGGCACATGGAAGGTGCAGAGTGAGGTGAGGGGAAGGAAGGCAAACGGAAGGTGCAGAGTGAGGTGAGGGGAAGGAAGGCACATGGAAGGTGCAGAGTGAGGTGAGGGGAAGGAAGGCACATGGAATGTGCAGAGTGAGGTGAGGGAAGGAAGGCACATGGAATGTGCAGAGTGAGGTGAGGGGAAGGAAGGCACATGGAAGGTGCAGAGTGAGGTGAAGTGAAGGAAGGCACATGGAATGTGCAGAGTGAGGTGAGGGAGGGGAAGGAAGGCACATGGAAGGTGCAGAGGGAGAGAAAGAAGGTACCTGGAAGGTGATGCCTTGAGCTTCTCCCGGAAGGACTCCAGTGGATGTGCCGTGTCGCTGTTGTAGAAGAAACGTGCATCCTCGTAGCGCGCCCTGTGGGGGGGAGGATAGGATTGGGTAGGGGAAATGGGAGATACAGAGGGGGGTAAGGAAGGACTCCAGCTCCAGTGGTTGTGCCGTGTCGCTGTTGTAGAAGAAACGTGCGTCCTCGTAGCGCGCCCTGTGGAAGGGGGGATGGGAGTGGGAAGGGGAACGGGAGAGCACTAAAGGTTGTCGCTGTTGTAGAAGAGACGCGCTCTGTGGGACAGTGATGGGTGGCGATGGGTGCTGATGGTTTTTATTGGGTGGCGATGGGTGGTGATGGTTGGTCATGGGTGGCGATGGTTGGTGACGGGTGGTGATGGGCGCAGTGATAGTGACGCAGGCTGCAACACCAACTTGTCACCGCAGTACCGACTTGTTGCCGCAGTACCGACTTGTCACCGCAGTACCAACTTGTTGCCGCAGTACCAACTGTACCAGCACTTCGTCCAGCCTTTTGTCCTCTCTCCCCCTTTTCCCTATCTCTGCCTTTACCATTCCACCCGTTCCCCTTCACCTTCCCGCAGCACCCCACCACTCACCGCAGCACGCACGACTCGTTGCCGGCCCGCACTGCCGCTTCGTCCAGCTTCCCGTTCGGCACCGCCACAAAGTACGGGAGAAGCTTCCCGGAAGCTGCGTCCTGCACCGGGAAGTACCTCTGATGCTTCCTCATCACCATCACGAGCACCTCGGGCGGTAGGTCAAGGAAGCTGCGGTCGAAGCTTCCTAGAAGCGGCACGGGCGACTCCACCAGGTTCGCCACCTCAGCAAGGAGTCTCCTCGTGCATCTTCCGGGATGCTTCCTCCCACCGATGCTGCGAGCTCATTGCTTGCCGCCCAGATTGCGTCTTTACGCTCCTGGTAGATTGGCAACCGGGAGCCAGTAGTAGATGACAGGCGCAACACAAGGCGTTCAGGAGATGACATGCATGCATGGCATGAGGCATTCAGGAGATGGATAATGGGAGCATGGGTGCGTTGAGAAAGGAGGCAGAGAGAAAACATATTGAGGTACTCTTTGAGTGGTCGCAATGGGTGATCATGGGTCGTGATGGGTGAGAGGAAGCAGGAGAGCGAGAAGTGGGGAAATGGGTGGGGCGCACCTGAATGGAGAGGGTGATGCCTGCAGCTGCGATGGCTGCTGCGTACTCCTCTGCAGATGGTAGCTGGTGTGGTGCAATGCGGTGTGGTGCGGTGAGGTGTGGCACAAGGGGGTGGATGACAATCTTTAGAATGCGTCTAAAACACACACACTAATGAGTGGTCCTCCGCACACGACAGCTAGTGCAGTGTCACGTGTGGGGGATGGATGGAATGTATGGGGTCGGCGGGATGGAATGTATGGGGTCGCGGATAGGAGAAGGGCATAGGGAGGGAAATGGGAAGGAGTATGAAAGATGGCTCATGGATCTGGAAATTGCCGGCAGAGCAGCAGAGTGATTTGAATCTTGAAGCACATGGCAGCCCTGACAGCATCGAAAGCGCCCATATTTCTTTTTGTTTTAGGCGCCTCAAATGCTTAGCTTAGCTCACCTGCACTCGTGTCTCTGTCTCTGGCGCATTTCTGAGCAGCCACGACTCGTTGCCTGATGCTAGACCTGCATAGGCGAAGGGCACCACCGTGTCGCCGTGCATGGCGAGTAGCCACCGGATGGGGCGGCTGAATGCTACCTGTGGTGCGGAGTGGTGAGGGGCAGGGTGCGGTGAAGGAAGGAGGGTTAGGTGATGGGCGAAGGGCACCACCGTGTTACCGTGCATAGCCAGCAGCTACTGGATGGGACGGCTGAACGACACCTGTGGTGTGGTAAAGTGAAGGATGGACAAGGGAAGGATAGGAGGGCAGGCAGGGCACCACTGTGTCGCCGTGCATAGCGAGCAGCCACCGGATGGGCCGGCTGAACGCCACCTGTGGGGTGAGTGAGTGAGGGGTGGGGGGCGCGGTGAGCCTTGTTTTGAGTCGACTCAAAACCAGCCTGCATAGGCGAAGGGCACCACCGTGTGTCCGTGCATTGCCAGCAGCCATCTGATGGGGCAGCTGAACGCAACCTGCGGAGGTGTGATGTGAGGTGGGTTGAGGTGGTGGAACAGGGCAGCGTTCAGGGCGTTCATGGGCACACGGGAGAGAGATGGCTCCAGCAATCACTGCTGCCCTGCCAGACAGCAATCATACTTTGAACCACTCAAAACCTTTTCGATTGAAGGAACAAGTGACGGGCCGCACCGATTTGGAAAAGGTGGGGCCGCAGCCAGCCACTCGCACTCCGCTGTGCTGTCACTCGTGTTATGTGCCGTGATCACCGTGTGCCCACCTGCAAGCCCTGTTCCACCCACCTGTGAGTTCCACCGCATGGTCTTGGGAAAGGCAATGCCCGCAATGACGGCTGGCAGCTGCTCGCCCAGCACGGCCCACGCGGGTCTGCTCTCCTCGCTCAAGCTCGCACCCAGTCACCCTCTCGTTACTGTGGTTACCACATGCTATGCCCACCTGCCAGCTGCACCCACCTGTGAGTTCCACCGCATGGTCTTGGGAAACGCGATCCCAGCAATAACAGCTGGAAGTTGCTCCCCCAGCACGGCCCACGCGGGTCGGCTCTCCTCGCTCACACTCGCCCACACGTACTCCACGCCCTTGTCGTCCGCCCGCGTGGTTACCGCATCTGCGGTTACCGCGTTACGCTTGCAGAAGCCCTCTAGCGCCTGGAGGGGGAGGAGAGAAGAAGGGAAGGAGCAACGGTTTCTATTCAGGGGGTGCTTTTCCTAATGACTGTGCTGGAACTGGTAGCCACAGAACATGGGGAAGGAATTGGGAGCATTCAATGCAATGTACTGTCGTACAAACTGCCACACAAACTGTGATCCGTTTGTCACACGCATGCACCACAAGCTGTGATCTGTTTGATCCGTGACGGAGTAACTGACAGGTGGACATCAATCCTTCACACCTCATGGGATGCAATTAAGCTGGGAACATTCCCCTCAGACTTTGAGTACCTTAGTGGGCTTCCCATCCTTGTCAAATGCCTTGTTAGCGGGCGGGCCCCGCACCTCCCGCTGCTCGCACTGCTGCCACGCTGCCAGCCCCGCCACCTGCACCGCGACCCTCCTGGGTGTGCCCCCCACTCTCACTGAGCTATAAGGCAGTCGCAGGCGGTCGAGCAGAGGCGGGATGGCTGCTTGCAACTGGCAGAGGGGGGTTGGCAACAGGGGACGGAGACAAGGGAGTGAGAATCAACACACCAGTCCCGCCACCTGCACTGCGACCCTCCTGGGTGTGCCCTCCACACGCACTGAGCTGTACGGGAGCCGCAGGCGGTCGAGCAGAGGCGGGATGGCTGCTTGCAACTGGCAGAGGGGGGTTGGCAACAGGGGACGGAGACAAGGGAAGAGAATCAACACACCAGCCCCGCCACCTGCACTGCGACCCTCCTGGATGTGCCCTCCACTCTCACTGAGCTGTAAGGCAGTCGCAGGCGGTCGAGCAGAGACAGGATGGCTGCTTGCAACTGGCAACAGGGGGGAGAGGAGAGTGGGGAGGGGAAGGGAGGGTGGAGAATGGGAGAGGGAGGCACAGTGAGAATGAGAAGCAACGCCACGTGCACCTACACTGCCACCTGCACTGCGATCCTCCTGGGTGTGGCATGGCATGGCCTCCACTCTCACCAAGTCGTACTGCAGTCGCAGAAGGGCGAGCAATGGTGGGATGGCCTCTTGCAGCTGCTGCCGGGGACGGATGCTGTGGGTGGAGAATGTGATACGGGTGATGGCTGGGATGATGGGTTGGGGTGATGGATGGGGGTGATAGATGGGGGTGATGGATGGGGGCGATGGCTGGGGGTGATGGGTGGGGGTGATGGATGGATGGGGGTGATGGCAACGCAGCAGAGCGTGCTAGCAACGCAGCAGAGCGTGCTAGCAACGCAGCAGAGCGTGCTAGCAACGCAGCAGAGCGTGCTAGCAACGCAGCAGAGCGTGCTAGCAACGCAGCAGAGCGTGCTAGCAACGCAGCAGAGCGTGCTAGCAACGCAGCAGAGCGTGCTAGCAACGCAGCAGAGCGTGCTAGCAACGCAGCAGAGCGTGCTAGCAACGCAGCAGAGCGTGCTAGCAACGCAGCTGGGCGTGCTAGCAACGCAGCAGAGCGTGCTAGCAACGCAGCAGAGCGTGCTAGCAACGCAGCAGAGCGTGCTAGCAACGCAGCAGAGCGTGCTAGCAACGCAGCAGAGCGTGCTAGCAACGCAGCAGAGCGTGCTAGCAACGCAGCAGAGCGTGCTAGCAACGCAGCAGAGCGTGCTAGCAACGCAGCAGAGCGTGCTAGCAACGCAGCAGAGCGTGCTAGCAACGCAGCAGAGCGTGCTAGCAACGCAGCAGAGCGTGCTAGCAACGCAGCAGAGCGTGCTAGCAACGCAGCAGAGCGTGCTAGCAACGCAGCTGGGCGTGCTAGCAACGCAGCAGAGCGTGCTAGCAACGCAGCAGAGCGTGCTAGCAACGCAGCAGAGCGTGCTAGCAACGCAGCAGAGCGTGCTAGCAACGCAGCAGAGCGTGCTAGCAACGCAGCAGAGCGTGCTAGCAACGCAGCAGAGCGTGCTAGCAACGCAGCTGAGCGTGCTAGCAACGCAGCAGAGCGTGCTAGCAACGCAGCAGAGCGTGCTAGCAACGCAGCAGAGCGTGCTAGCAACGCAGCAGAGCGTGCTAGCAACGCAGCAGAGCGTGCTAGCAACGCAGCAGAGCATGCTAGGCAACGCAGTTGGGCGTGCTAGCAACGCAGCAGAGCGTGCTAGCAACGCAGCAGAGCGTGCTAGCAACGCAGCAGAGCGTGCTAGCAACGCAGCAGAGCGTGCTAGCAACGCAGCAGAGCGTGCTAGCAACGCAGCAGAGCGTGCTAGCAACGCAGCAGAGCGTGCTAGCAACGCAGCAGAGCGTGCTAGCAACGCTGCAGTTGGGCGTGCTAGCAACGCAGCAGAGCGTGCTAGCAACGCAGCAGAGCGTGCTAGCAACGCAGCAGAGCGTGCTAGCAACGCAGCTGAGCGTGCTAGCAACGCAGCTGGGCGTGCTAGCAACGCAGCAGAGCGTGCTAGCAACGCAGCAGAGCGTGCTAGCAACGCAGCAGAGCGTGCTAGCAACGCAGCAGAGCAACGCAGCATAGCGTGCTAGCAACGCAGCTGGGCGTGCTAGCAACGCAGCAGAGCGTGCTAGCAACGCAGCAGGAGAGCGTTCTAACAACGCAGCAGAGCGTGCTAGCAACGCAGCAGAGCGTGCTAGCAACGCAGCTGGGCGTGCTAGCAACGCAGCAGAGCGTGCTAGCAACGCAGCAGAGCGTGCTAGCAACGCAGCAGAGCGTGCTAGCAACGCAGCAGAGCGTGCTAGCAACGCAGCAGAGCGTGCTAGCAACGCAGCAGAGCATGCGAGCAACGCAGCAGAGCGTGCTAGCAACGCAGCAGAGCGTGCTAGCAACGCAGCAGAGCGTGCTAGCAACGCAGCAGAGCGTGCTAGCAACGCAGCTGAGCGTGCTAGCAACGCAGCTGGGCGTGCTAGCAACGCAGCAGAGCGTGCTAGCAACGCAGCAGAGCGTGCTAGCAACGCAGCAGAGCGTGCTAGCAACGCAGCAGAGTAGGGATGGGCATTTGGCCCGGACGGGTCGGGTTACCCGACCCGACCCGCCCTTTTGGGCGGGTCGGGTCAGTCATGCCGAGCATGTCGACCCGTCCGGGTCGGGTCGGGTATACCCGGACGGGTCTTGTCGACCCGTGACCCGTTTACGTGATTTATAGACGGGTATTAGCGACCCGTCGGGTCGGGTTGACCCGTCCCGTCCGGGTCGCGTACCTAGTCAAATGATAGGGTTACCCGACCCGTGATCTGATTAGGGTACAATTTGTAGAGGGGGAGAACGTCAGTTGGTTTCTTATGTTTTGTTTCCCCCTCGACATTCAGATCCCGTCTCTAGCCTACCTTAAGCTTGAACATCTGCACTGCACCTACCAAGCCTCTTAGAGCCTTCACCTCAATGTTAACACTATTATAGACTTCTGAGTCAGGTTAGGCATAGGCTCTCCCGCCATTTCTCGCACGACCAGGAGCGCAGCAGCGCGCTCGCCGTCACGCATTGGCGGGATCGCAGCCACGCAATAGCGCGACCGCGGCCCCGCATTTGCGCAGCGCGATTGCGGCCCCGCCTACGCGCGATCGCGGCCCTCCATAAGCGCGATCGCGGCCCCGCATACGGCGATCGCGTCGCCGCTTTAGTAACATGAATTTACAATGTAGCAAATCAAACTTAACCCCCATACCCTGCTGCTCTGTAGCAAGTATTGACCCGACCCGACCCGACAAGTGGTGTAACCGACCCGGGTACGGGTCACAAATACCCGTGCCTACGGGGCGGGTCAGGTCATCAAAACAGAGTCAAACCCGACCCGCCGACCCGACCCGTCCCGACCCGTTTAGGTAACGGGTCGCCCTAGACGGGACGAGTCGGGCCGGGTCGGGTCAAATGCCCATGCCTACAGCAGAGCGTGCTAGCAACGCAGCAGAGCGTGCTAGCAACGCAGCAGAGCGTGCTAGCAACGCAGCTGGGCGTGCTAGCAACGCAGCAGAGCGTGCTAGCAAAGCATGAGAGCGTGCTAGCAACGCAGCAGAGCGTGCTAGCAACGCAGCAGAGCGTGCTAGCAACGCAGCAGAACGTTTTAGCAACGCAGCTGAGCGTGCTAGCAACGCAGCAGAGCGTGCTAGCAACGCAGCAGAGCGTGCTAGCAACGCAGCAGGAGACCGTGCTAGCAACGCAGCTGGGCGTGCTAGCAACGCAGCTGGGCGTGCTAGCAACGCAGCAGAGCGTGCTAGCAACGCAGCAGAGCGTGCTAGCAACGCAGCAGAGCGTGCTAGCAACGCAGCAGAGCGTGCTAGCAACGCAGCAGAGCGTGCTAGCAACGCAGCAGAGCGTGCTAGCAACGCAGCAGAGCGCGCTAGCAACGCAGCAGAGCGCGCTAGCAACGCAGCAGGGCGCGCGAGCAACGCAGCAGGGCGCGCGAGCAACGCAGCAGGGCGCGCGAGCAACGCAGCAGGGCGCGCGAGCAACGCAGCAGAGCGTGCGAGCAACGCAGCAGAGCGTGCTAGCAACGCAGCAGAGCGTGCTAGCAACGCAGCAGAGCGTGCTAGCAACGCAGCAGAGCGTGCTAGCAACGCAGCAGAGCGCGCTAGCAACGCAGCAGAGCGCGCTAGCAACGCAGCAGAGCGCGCTAGCAACGCAGCAGAGCGTGCTAGCAACGCAGCTGGGTTGCCAGCAACGCAGCAGGGCATGCGAGCAACGCAGCTGGGCATGCTAGCAATGCAGCAGAGCGTGCTAGCAACGCAGCAGAGCGTGCTAGCAACGCAGCAGAGCGTGCTAGCAACGCAGCAGAGCGTGCTAGCAACGCAGCTGAGCGTGCTAGCAACGCAGCAGAGCGTGCTAGCAACGCAGCAGAGCGTGCTAGCAACGCAGCAGAGCGTGCTAGCAACGCAGCAGAGCGTGCTAGCAACGCAGCAGAGCGCGCTAGCAACGCAGCAGAGCGCGCTAGCAACGCAGCAGAGCGCGCTAGCAACGCAGCAGAGCGCGCTAGCAACGCAGCAGAGCGTGCTAGCAACGCAGCTGGGTTGCCAGCAACGCAGCAGGGCATGCGAGCAACGCAGCTGGGCATGCTAGCAACGCAGCAGAGCGTGCTAGCAACGCAGCAGAGCGTGCTAGCAACGCAGCAGAGCGTGCTAGCAACGCAGCAGAGCGTGCTAGCAACGCAGCTGGGCGTGCTAGCAACGCAGCAGAGCGTGCTAGCAACGCAGCAGAGCGTGCTAGCAACGCAGCAGAGCGTGCTAGCAACGCAGCAGAGCGTGCTAGCAACGCAGCAGAGCATGCGAGCAACGCAGCAGAAAGTGCGAGCAACGCAGCAGAGCGTGCTAGCAACGCAGCAGAGCGTGCTAGCAACGCAGCGGAGCGCGCGAGCAACGCAGCAGAGCGCGCGAGCAACGCAGCAGAGCGCGCGAGCAACACAGCAGAGCGCGCGAGCAACGCAGCAGAGCGCGCGAGCAACGCAGCACAGCGCGCGAGCAACGCAGCAGAGCGCGCTAGCAACGCAGCAGAGCGTGCTAGCAACGCAGCAGAGCGCGCGAGCAACGCAGCACAGCGCGCGAGCAACGCAGCAGAGCGCGCTAGCAACGCAGCAGAGCGTGCTAGCAACGCAGCAGAGCGCGCGAGCAACGCAGCAGAGCGCGCTAGCAACGCAGCAGAGCGCGCTAGCAACGCAGCAGAGCGCGCTAGCAACGCAGCAGAGCGCGCTAGCAACGCAGCAGAGCGCGCTAGCAACGCAGCAGAGCGCGCTAGCAACGCAGCAGAGCGTGCGAGCAACGCAGCAGAGCGTGCGAGCAACGCAGCAGAGCGTGCTAGCAACGCAGCAGAGCGTGCTAGCAACGCAGCTGAGCGTGCTAGCAACGCAGCTGAGCGTGCTAGCAACGCAGCTGAGCGTGCTAGCAACGCAGCTGAGCGTGCTAGCAACGCAGCAGAGCGTGCTAGCAACGCAGCAGAGCGTGCTAGCAACGCAGCAGAGCGTGCTAGCAACGCAGCAGAGCGTGCTAGCAACGCAGCAGAGCGTGCTAGCAACGCAGCAGAGCGTGCTAGCAACGCAGCAGAGCGCGCTAGCAACGCAGCAGAGCGCGCTAGCAACGCAGCAGAGCGCGCTAGCAACGCAGCAGAGCGTGCGAGCAACGCAGCAGAGCGCACTAGCAACGCAGCAGAGCGTGCGAGCAACGCAGCAGAGCGTGCGAGCAACGCAGCAGAGCGTGCTAGCAACGCAGCTGAGCGTGCTAGCAACGCAGCTGAGCGTGCTAGCAACGCAGCTGAGCGTGCTAGCAACGCAGCTGAGCGTGCTAGCAACGCAGCTGAGCGTGCTAGCAACGCAGCAGAGCGTGCTAGCAACGCAGCAGAGCGTGCTAGCAACGCAGCAGAGCGTGCTAGCAACGCAGCAGAGCGTGCTAGCAACGCAGCAGAGCGTGCTAGCAACGCAGCAGAGCGCGCTAGCAACGCAGCAGAGCGCGCTAGCAACGCAGCAGAGCGCGCTAGCAACGCAGCAGAGCGCGCTAGCAACGCAGCAGAGCGCGCTAGCAACGCAGCAGAGCGCGCTAGCAACGCAGCAGAGCGCGCTAGCAACGCAGCAGAGCGTGCGAGCAACGCAGCAGAGCGTGCGAGCAACGCAGCAGAGCGTGCGAGCAACGCAGCAGAGCGTGCTAGCAACGCAGCTGAGCGTGCTAGCAACGCAGCTGAGCGTGCTAGCAACGCAGCTGAGCGTGCTAGCAACGCAGCTGAGCGTGCTAGCAACGCAGCTGAGCGTGCTAGCAACGCAGCTGAGCGTGCTAGCAACGCAGCTGAGCGTGCTAGCAACGCAGCAGAGCGTGCTAGCAACGCAGCAGAGCGTGCTAGCAACGCAGCAGAGCGTGCTAGCAACGCAGCAGAGCATGCGAGCAACGCAGCAGAGCGTGCTACCAACGCAGCAGAGCGTGCTAGCAACGCAGCAGAGCGCGCTAGCAACGCAGCAGAGCGCGCTAGCAACGCAGCAGAGCGCGCTAGCAACGCAGCAGAGCGCGCTAGCAACGCAGCAGAGCGCGCTGATAGGATTCAAGAATAATTGAGTAATGAGCCATGGAGGCTCTATAGTACAAGCATGCAAGGAAGAGAGGTTGGAAGAAGGTGCAACCCTATTGGCCACTAAGTTGGCCAATGGGTGAGTTGCCTTGTGGAGTAGGGAACCCCACAATGTTGCTAGCTTGTGATTGGTTGGCCTTAGGACCAAATGTTGGCAAGTGCCAACCAAGGACCAAGACCAAACCAAATCTTGACCCAACCACAAAGTGTGGTTGGAGTGTACACCCAACCCCCCAATAGCTTAAAGAGCTACACCTATTCTAGCCTATGTATGTTGTATATATAAGATACATTTACAACACAACCCCCTAACATGGATAAGGCTAGAAAAAAAATGGAATCAGGAGGCCGCCAAAACTGGTGGCGGGGTGAGCCCAAGGAGACGCAACAGGAAGGAGTGGGACGCTTGGGGAAGAGCTTTGGTGAAGATGTCGGCGAGGTTGGCTGCCGAGTCGATTTTGCCAAGACGAATGTGGCCGGCCTCAACGAGATCGCGAATGAAGAAGTAGCGAAGCTCAATGTGTTTTGAGCGCCCATGATACACAGCGTCCTTGGTGAGGTGGATGGTGCTGGCGTTGTCACACCAGATGGTGGGACAGCGTTGGGGGGCTCCTAGCTCATCAAGGAGGAAGGTGAGCCAGCGTGCTTCTTGCGCGGCCATGGTCGCAGCGTAGAGCTCTGCTTCGCAGGAGGAGAGGGCGACGGCAGAGGAGCGTGTGGACCGCCAGCTGATGAGACCGCTGCCGAGGGAGAAGCCATAGCCCTGAGAGGACCGCCGATCCGGTCGAGAATCAGCCCAGGAAGAGTCGCTGTAGCCGTTGAGGAGTGGTGGGGAAGGGCCGCCAAGAGTGAGGACATAGTCCTTGGTGCCACGAATGTAGCGAAGGACACGCTTGGCGGCCTGCCAGTGCTCTTCCGTGTGCTTGCCAGCGCCAACGAACCGAGCGAGGACGCTGATGGGGTAGGCAAGGTCAGGGCGAGTGGAAACCATGGCGTACATGAGAGAGCCGATGAGTTCCGGATAAGGATGGGAGGAGGGAGAGGGAGAGGAGGGTGGGGAGAGGTGGTGCCCAACCGAGAGGGGAGTGGGCTGGGGGTTGCCGCGCGCCATGTCAAACCGGTCCAAGACCTGCTGGAGGTAGTGACCCTGAGAGAGTGAGATGGTGCGGGCGGAGCGGTCGCGAGTGATGGTCATGCCGAGGTAGTTCTGCAGCTCTCCCAGGTCTTTGCACTTGAGACGGCTGCCCAGCTCCGCCTTGACAGTCTCGAGCTCGGCAAGGTCGGCGGTGAGGAGGATCATGTCGTCAACATAGACGAGGATGTAGAAGGGGGAGGGGGAGGTGCGGAGGAAGAGGCTGGCGTCAGAGCGGGAGGTGCGAAAGCCAAGCTCAGCAAGGGTGGCGGCGAGCTTGGCATGCCACTCCCTGGGTGCCTGACGGAGCCCGTACACGGGTCGGCGCAGCTGCCAGACGGAGTCGGCGGGGAAGGGGAGGTGGAAGCCTTCTGAGTGCTCCATGTAGATCAGTTCACGTAGGACGCCTTGGAGGAAGGCGTTGGAGACATCCATCGAGTGGATCTCCATGTTGAGGCGAGCGGCGAGGTCGAGAACAGCGGGAACGGTAGCAGGTTTGGCGGTGGGGGAGAAGGTGTCGAAGAAGTCAAAACCATACCGCTGCGTGAAGCCCTTGGCGCAATACCGGGCCTTGTAGACGGGCGGCTCTCCTGGTAGCTGCTTGACGCGAAACACCCACTTCCCTTTTACCACGTTCGTAGAGGAAGGGGGCGGGGCACATCAACGAAGGAGGAGTTGGCGATAAATGCCTCGAGCTCCTTGATGATGGCGGCAAGCCAGAGCGGGGCGTCGGGGCAAGCCATGGCCTCCTCGTACGTGGTTGGGACGAAGATGGAGGGAGCAGAGGAAAAGGCGAAGACTGGTGTTCCAGAGAGGGCAAGGGTGATGGGGAGGAGGGAGGGGTCGGAAAGGTGGAGGTCAAGGAACTCCTCATGGGAGTCCTCAGAGAGGGAGGTGTGGAAGGCGCGGATGACCGTTGGTGCCGCTGCTCGTGCTGCTGCTGGTGCCGCTGCTAGTGCCGCTGCTAGTGCCGCTGCTGGTGCTGCTGCGGAGGCCGCTGCTGCCGCTGCTGGTGCTGCTGCTGGTGCCGCTGCTGGTGCCGCTGCTGGTGCCGCTGCTGGTGCCGCTGCTGGTGCCGCTGCTGCTGCTGCACCTGCCGCTGCTGGTGCCGCTGCGGTGGCTGCTGCTGGAGCTGCTGCTGCCGATGATGGAGAGGTGGTTGAGGGGGCTGGTGCATGAGGGGCTTGATGTAAGACAGCCTGGAAGAAGTGGTGAAGGAGGGGAGAAAGAGGGGGAAGGGAAGAGGTAGAGAGGGTAACAGGGGGCGGTGCACCAAGGATACTGTCACGTGACCTGGTGTGAGGATACCGGGTGAGTATGGTGCGGGGAGTGGGGGAGGGAGGTGAGGGTTGGGAGGGAGGGGGAGGGGCGCCGGGGGAGGAGTGGGCGGGGGAGACAGGGGAGGATAGAGGGTCCGGATCAAAGATGTCACCAGACGAGGGAGGGGCACCGTGGGACTGGGAGGGCGGAGGGGGAGGGGGTGGGAGGATGGGGGGAGGAGGGAGGAGAGGGGGAGGGGTGGTGTCAGACCAGACAAGAGGACGAGTCAGAGGTGGGAGTGGGTCAGTGGATGGAGGAGAGGAATAATAGGGGGTGGATTCGTCAAAGACGACATCTCTGCTGCGAATTAGTCGACCGGAAGGGGGGTGGAGGAAAAGATAGTCGGGGGAGGAGGGGGGTTATGACCAAGGAAGACGCAAGGAAGGGTACGGAGGGCAAGCTTTCCAAGGGAGCGGGATCGGTCAGACGGGTGAATGAGGACATATGCCTTAGAGCCCCAGACTCGAAGAGGGGAGACATCGGGTTTGTCCTTTGTCCATAGCTCAGTGGGGGTGGTGGAGGGGAGGAGGGGGTGAGGGTAAAGGTTAGTAAGAAGGGCGGCATGAAGGAGGGCGTAGCCCCACAGAGAAGGGGGGCATGAGGCGTGGACAAGAAGACACCGAGCCGTTTTGGTGATCTCCCGAACACGGCTCTCAGCGACACCGTTCTGCTGTGGGGAGTGAGGGAGGGTGTGAGTCTGGAGAATGCCGCGGGACTGGCAGTAGGAGGAAATTTGGGTATTAAGGAACTCACCACCACCATCAGAGTGAAGGCGGCGAACAGGGCGCCCAAAATGGGTGTTGGCTTGTTCGAGCCAGGCAATGATCGCGGTCGGGGCGTCCGCTTTCGTCCGAAGGAGAGAGACGGACGAGTACCGACTGTGGTCATCGACGAGCACGAGGAGGTAGCGATGGCCTTGGCGAGTGGGGGAAGGGTTAGGGCCCCAGAGGTCCATGTGAACAAGATCAAGTGGCTGAGCAGCAGCGGAGGGGGAGCTCCGGTGCGGCTGCTGCTTGAGCTTGCTCTGAACGCAGACGACGCAAGGGGGGGCAGGGGACTTTGGGAGGGGAGGGAGGGAGGAGGGGAGACCGTGGAGGAGACCGGAGGATACAGAGGAGCGCAGAGTGGCGAAGTTGGGGTGACCTAGCCTGTGATGGAGGAGGATGGCAGGGTGGGAGAGGGAGCGACATGAGCAGTCAGAGTCAGGGGGGCGGGGGGGGACGGGTGGGTTAGTGGAGGGGAGGGGAGGAGTGGGGGGGAGGAGGGGGGGGGAGGCAACTTGGAAGGTGAGGGGGCGAGGAACCCGAAGGGTGTATAGACGGGAGCGGGGACAGTAGGGAATACGGGCGAGGAAGCGACCTGTGGAAGTTTGGTAGACGTCACAGTGGTTAGCACCACCTGGGGTGAGAGTGGTGATCATGGATTGTTGGAGGGACCTTTGGGAGAGGAGGTTGGTGCGAAGGGAGGGAATGTGAAGACCTGTGACAGTACCTGAGGGAAAGAGAGGACAGGGAAGGGTGGAGGTGTTGTGACAGGGGATGGAAAAGCTGCTATCAGCGCCAAGGAGGGACGTGGATGTGGGAAGAGGATTGAGTTTGCCGGCATCTCGAAAGACATTATCAGTGGCTCCACTGTCCAAGACGAACTCAAGGGTGGAGGAGGGTGAGGCGGAATACTGAATTGAGGTTTCATTAATAGCAGGGGCATACATAGGAGATGCAACAGAAGGAGGCTGACTAAGGAGACCAACAAAGCCAGAGGAGGGAAAGGGGGTCACACTGCCACCTGTGGACGGCGCAGGGGATGGACCGGAGAGGTGGGCCGCGGAGGCCGCATTCCCGGCGGTCCAGCTGGGAAACGGCTGCTGCTGGGGGACAGGAGGAGGAGGGAGGAGAAGAAGCTAGGGCTGGAGGTCGAGCTGCTGCTGGAGCTGCTGAAGCTGCTGCTGAAGTTGCTGAAGCTGCTGCCCGTACTGCTGCGGTCCCTGCTGGTGGGCACTCTGCTGCTGCTGCTGCTGCTGCTGCTGCTGCTGCTGCTACTGCTGAGAGGGGAGAGCGAAGGCCTGGTGGGCCTGGGAGGAGGAGGAGGGGGCGTAGAGGGGAGAGGTGCGAACATCGAGGGGAGTGGGGCGGGGATTAAGGGCGGACCAGCGAGGAGGGGTGCCAGAGTTCCCACGAGCGAACCACTCATCGCTGAGTGCCTTGAAGCACGTGTCAGTTGCATGAGTGGTTTGGTTGCAGCGTTGGCCTCGGGTGGGGCCATAGAGGGGAAGATACTGACAGGGTGGGAAGGCCGCTGCTGCCCCACGACCCGCACCACCACGACCGCCAGAGCCGCCTCGACCACCACCACGCCCACCTCCACGCCCTCCCCCACGTCCGCCCTTGCCGCTGCGCTGCTGTGCTACCGCGGCAGTGGAGGAGGAGTGGCGAAGGATTTCAGCCTCAGTGGTGATAATCCACTGGGCAACTTGAGCGGGAGTGTCATGCTTGGAGAGGAGTTGCATGTATGCGAGCTTGTGGGCATCGAAGGCGGGAGTGAGGCCTTCGAGGAGGTGGCAGCAGATGACGGTGTCAGGGTAGGTGACGCCAAGGGCTGCAAGGCGGCGAGCAAGGTCAAGGACGCGGCGAGTAAAGGCGGCTGCGCCGGCAGTGGAATCCATGGTGATGGATCCAAATTCCTTGATGAGGGCATAGAGGGTGGCGATGTCCTGCCGGTCAAAGAGGTCGACAAGCAGTTGCCACAGGTGGGAGGAGGAGGTAGGTGAAAGCTCTCGTTTGAGGGAGGAGGGGATAGTGGCGAGGAGGATGGCGAGAGCTCGACGGTCAGCAATGCGCCACGCAGCGATGTCGGTGGTGTAGCTGGCGAGACGTGTAGTGTACGTGGTGAGCCGGGCTTGGTAATCGCGGTGGCGGGCAGCAGCCTCGTCGTAGGCGCGCTTGTCGTCCTCATAGCGCAGTTGACGGCGAAGGTGGTCGTTGAGTGCGGTGCGGTAGGTACGGATGCGGTTTCCATGCTTTGAGGATTGTTGACATCCGGCGCGAAGGTGGGAGGATCACCCGGAGGTTCGGGCTCAGGTCCGGGCTCGTCGGGAGGAGGTCCGGTGGGAGGGGAAGGGGCGATGGGCTGGAGTCCGCCTTCCTCCTGGAACACGACGGAACGGAGGGTGTATCCACTGACGACAACCGAGGAGAGCAACACCTCGACGGAGTGGGCATAAGAGTGCCAGTTGGCGGCCGAGTTGTCGCCCAACAACTCGAGAGAGTCAATGGTTGCCAAGTCGACCGATGAGTCTGCGGACGCCATTGTGGCGAAGCCGGGAAGGTGCCGCTGCTGGTGCCGTTGAAGGTGCCGCTGCTGGTGCCGTTGAAGGTGCCGCTGCTGTTTTAGGGTTGAAGGTGCCGCTGCTAGGTGCTGTTGCTGGTGTAGTTAAGGATGGAGCAGGGGGGGAGGAGGTAGGGGAGAGGGAGGGTGGCGACGAAGTGTGAGGCGGGGCGCGGATGAAGGGGGGAGGTCGCGGTGAGCGCGAGCAGGCGACCGCGAGGGCGCGGAGGTCAGTCGCGGCGGCGCGCCGGCCGGCCGCGAGTGCGCGAGGGTCGGCCGCGGCTCCGCGTCGGTCGTCCGCGTCAGCGCGGGCGGCCGCGTGGCTCCGCGTCGGCCGTCCGCGTCAGCGCGAGGGTCGGCCGCGTGGCTTCGCGGTGGCCGTCCGCGTCAGCGTGGGGATCGGCGCCGCTCGCGTGCTGGCCGTCCGCGCTGGCGCGCAGGTCGTCGATGGCTCCGCGCTGGCCGTGCGCGTCGGTGCGCGGGGTGCTCGTGGCCGCGTGCTGGCCGTCCGCGACGGCTTGCTGGCCGTCCGCGACGGCTTGCTGGCCGTCCGCGACGGCTTGCTGGCCGTCCGCGACGGCTTTCTGGCCGTCCGCAACGGCGCGCGGGTCGTCCGCGACGGAAGGCGTGAGGGAGGCGTGACTGCGGGAGAGAGGATTGAGGCCACGGGAGAGCGGTTGGAGGCCGCGAGAGGGAGGATTGGGGCCGCGGGAGGGAGGATTGAGGCCGCGGGAGGGAGGATTGAGGCCGCGGAGGAGTAGATCTGAGCCGCGGAAAGCTAGATCTGAGGTACGGGAGGGAGGATTGAGGCCGCGGGAGGCTAGATCTAAGATGCGGGTGGACGGATGTGAATCGTAGTCCGCTAGGGTGGAGAAGCGGAGAGGAAATTACGGCCTAAGGATCGAGGGAGGTGGCGTGAGCCATTTGGCTCTGAATACCATGATAGGATTCAAGAATAATTGAGTAATGAGCAATGGAGGCTCTATAGTCCAAGCATGCAAGGAAGAGAGGTTGGAAGAAGGTGCAACCCTATTGGCCACTAAGTTGGCCAATGGGTGAGTTGCCTTGTGGAGTAGGGAACCCCACAATGTTGCTAGCTTGTGATTGGTTGGCCTTAGGACCAAATGTTGGCAAGTGCCAACCAAGGACCAAGACCAAACCAAATCTTGACCCAACCACAAAGTGTGGTTGGAGTGTACACCCAACCCCCCAATAGCTTAAAGAGCTACACCTATTCTAGCCTATGTATGTTGTATATATAAGATACATTTACAACACGCGCGAGCAACGCAGCAGAGCGCGCGAGCAACGCAGCAGAGCGCGCGAGCAACGCAGCAGAGCGCGCGAGCAACGCAGCAGAGCGTGCGAGCAACGCAGCAGAGCGTGCGAGCAACGCAGCAGAGCATGCTAGCAACGCAGCAGAGCGTGCTAGCAACGCAGCAGAGCGTGCTAGCAACGCAGCTGAGCGTGCTAGCAACGCAGCTGAGCGTGCTAGCAACGCAGCAGAGCGTGCTAGCAACGCAGCAGAGCGTGCTAGCAACGCAGCAGAGCGTGCTAGCAACGCAGCACAGCGCGCGAGCAACGCAGCTGAGCGTGCGAGCAACGCAGCAGAGCGCGCGAGCAACGCAGCAGAGCGCGCTAGCAACGCAGCAGAGCGCGCTAGCAACGCAGCAGAGCGCGCTAGCAACGCAGCAGAGCGCGCTAGCAACGCAGCAGAGCGCGCTAGCAACGCAGCAGAGCGCGCTAGCAACGCAGCTGAGGGTGCCAGCAACGCAGCAGAGCTTGCGAGCAACGCAGCAGAGCGTGCCAGCAACACAGCAGAGCGTGCCAGCAACACAGCAGAGCGTGCTAGCAACGCAGCAGAGCGTGCTAGCAACGCAGCTGAGCGTGCTAGCAACGCAGCTGAGCGTGCTAGCAACGCAGCAGAGCGTGCTAGCAACGCAGCAGAGCGTGCTAGCAACGCAGCAGAGCGTGCTAGCAACGCAGCAGAGCGCGCTAGCAACGCAGCAGAGCGCGCTAGCAACGCAGCAGAGCGCACGAGCAACGCAGCAGAGCGCGCGAGCAACGCAGCAGAGTGCGCGAGCAACGCAGCAGAGCGCGCGAGCAACGCAGCAGAGCGCGCGAGCAACGCAGCAGAGCGCGCTAGCAACGCAGCAGAGCGCGCTAGCAACGCGCGCTAGCAACGCAGCGGAGCGTGCTAGCAACGCAGCGGAGCGTGCTAGCAACGCAGCGGAGCGTGCTAGCAACGCAGCGGAGCGTGCTAGCAACGCAGCAGAGCGTGCTAGCAACGCAGCTGAGCGTGCTAGCAACGCAGCTGAGCGTGCTAGCAACGCAGCAGAGCGTGCTAGCAACGCAGCAGAGCGTGCTAGCAACGCAGCAGAGCCTGCTATCAACGCAGCAGAGCGTGCTAGCAACGCAGCAGAGCGTGCTAGCAACGCAGCAGAGCGTGCTAGCAACGCAGCAGAGCGTGCTAGCGACGCAGCAGAGCGTGCTAGCGACGCAGCAGAGCGTGCTAGCAACGCAGCAGAGCGTGCTAGCAACGCAGCAGAGCGTGCTAGCAACGCAGCAGAGCGTGCTAGCAACGCAGCAGAGCGCGCGAGCAACGCAGCAGAGCGCGCGAGCAACGCAGCAGAACGCGCGAGCAACGCAGCAGAGCGCGCTAGCAACGCAGCAGAGCGTGCGAGCAACGCAGCAGAGCGTGCTAGTAACGCAGCAGAGCGTGCGAGCAACGCAGCAGAGCGTGCGAGCAACGCAGCAGAGCGTGCTAGCAACGCAGCAGAGCGTGCTAGCAACGCAGCTGAGCGTGCTAGCAACGCAGCAGAGCATGCTAGGAACGCAGCAGAGCGTGCTAGCAACGCAGCAGAGCGTGCTAGCAACGCAGCAGAGCGTGCTAGCAACGCAGCAGAGCGTGCTAGCAACGCAGCAGAGCGTGCGAGGAACACAGCAGAGCGTGCTAGTAACGCAGCAGAGCGTGCTAGTAACGCAGCAGAGCTTGCGAGCAACGCAGCAGAGCGTGCTAGCAACGCAGCAGAGCGTGCTAGCAACGCAGCAGAGCGTGCTAGCAACGCAGCAGAGCGTGCTAGCAACGCAGCAGAGCGTGCTAGCAACGCAGCAGAGCGTGCTAGCAACGCAGCAGAGCGTGCTAGCAACGCAGCAGAGCGTGCTAGCAACGCAGCAGAGCGTGCTAGCAACGCAGCAGAGCGTGCTAGCAACGCAGCAGAGCGTGCTAGCAACGCAGCAGAGCGTGCTAGCAACGCAGCAGAGCGTGCTAGCAACGCAGCAGAGCGTGCTAGCAACGCAGCAGAGCGTGCTAGCAACGCAGCAGAGCGTGCTAGCAACGCAGCAGAGCGTGCTAGCAACGCAGCAGAGCGCGCGAGCAACGCAGCAGCAGAGCGCGCTAGCAACGCAGCAGAGCGCGCTAGCAACGCAGCAGAGCGCGCTAGCAACGCAGCAGAGCGCGCTAGCAACGCAGCAGAGCGCGCTAGCAACGCAGCAGAGCGCGCTAGCAACGCAGCAGAGCGCGCTAGCAACGCAGCGGGGCGTGCTAGCAACGCAGCGGAGCGTGCTAGCAACGCAGCGGAGCGTGCTAGCAACGCAGCGGAGCGTGCTAGCAACGCAGCAGAGCGTGCTAGCAACGCAGCAGAGCGTGCTAGCAACGCAGCAGAGCGTGCTAGCAACGCAGCAGAGCGTGCTAGCAACGCAGCAGAGCGTGCTAGCAACGCAGCAGAGCGTGCTAGCAACGCAGCAGAGCGTGCTAGCAACGCAGCAGAGCGTGCTAGCAACGCAGCAGAGCGTGCTAGCAACGCAGCAGAGCGCGCGAGCAACGCAGCAGCAGAGCGCGCTAGCAACGCAGCAGAGCGCGCTAGCAACGCAGCAGAGCGCGCTAGCAACGCAGCAGAGCGCGCTAGCAACGCAGCAGAGCGCGCTAGCAACGCAGCAGAGCGTGCTAGCAACGCAGCAGAGCGTGCTAGCAACGCAGCAGAGCGTGCTAGCAACGCAGCAGAGCGTGCTAGCAACGCAGCAGAGCGTGCTAGCAACGCAGCAGAGCGTGCTAGCAACGCAGCAGAGCGTGCTAGCAACGCAGCAGAGCGTGCTAGCAACGCAGCAGAGCGTGCTAGCAACGCAGCAGAGCGCGCGAGCAACGCAGCAGAGCGCGCGAGCGACGCAGCAGAGCGCGCTAGCAACGCAGCAGAGCGCGCTAGCAACGCAGCAGAGCGCGCTAGCAACGCAGCAGAGCGCGCTAGCAACGCAGCAGAGCGCGCTAGCAACGCAGCAGAGCGCGCTAGCAACGCAGCAGAGCGTGCTAGCAACGCAGCAGAGCGTGCTAGCAACGCAGCAGAGCGTGCTAGCAACGCAGCAGAGCGTGCTAGCAACGCAGCTGAGCGTGCTAGCAACGCAGCTGAGCGTGCTAGCAACGCAGCGGAGCGTTTTAGCAACGCAGCGGAGCGTGCTAGCAACGCAGCAGAGCGTGCTAGCAACGCAGCTGGTGATGGGTGGGGTTGATGGATGGGAGTGATGGGTGGGGGTGATGGATGGGGGTGATGGATGGGGGTGATGGATGGGGTTGATGGATGGGGGTGATGGATGGGGGCGATGGGTGGGGGTGATGGATGGGGGTGATGGATGGGGGTGATGGATGGGGGTGATGGACTGGGCTGATGGATGGGAAGAGCTTTGGATGAGAGCGACACGAATTTTGGATTCGGTCGTTCGAGACCTGGAATGGGCATAGCCACCTGGAATGGGCCCCAACGTCCCCAGTGCACCCACCTGGGCAACAGCGCTGCTGACGTCATCAGGCGGCAACTCCTCTGTACCGATCTCCACCACTAGCGTCCGCCCCTTGCCCTCCCCCGCCTCCTCGCCACCCGCACTCGCCGCCCCGTCCTGTGCCGCCACGTCAGCGGACGGCCACGTGTCCCCTGTTGGCTGCGCCACGTCAGCGTCCGCCCGGCCCAATGGGAAGCCGAGCTTCTCCCGCGTTTCGACCCATAGTTGGGCGCACTGACGCGCCAGGCTGGCTTGGGGGGTGATGGGACGAAAAGGAGGACACGGGGAAGAAAGAGGGAGGGGAAGGGAGAAAGGGGTGGGGGTGGGGAGGAATGATGGGAGAGCATTCAAGCACAGTGGGTCATTCTATAATCCGTCTTCCTTTTCCATTAATTCCCACAAGTCATGTCAAAACGGATAGCCTGATTGCAGGACTGCCATGCACCCATACACACCGTACTCCACCGCACTTCACCTTCTCATACGACCGAAGAAGCGGGCTCTCTCAGTGACCCCCACGGCACCCCGTGCGTCCAGAATGTTGAATGCATGGGACGTCTTCAGCACGTGGTCGAAGCTGCAGGGAGGTGTGGGTGGTGCATGGGCAGGCAGAGTCGGGAAATAAGGGATATCTCTCTCAGTGACTCCAACAGCGCCCCTGTCGTCCAGAATGTTGAACGCATGGGACGTCTTGAGCACGTGGTCGAAGCTGCACGGGGGGTGTGGTTGGTGCATGGGCAGGCAGAGGCGGGAATCAAGCTATATCTCGCTCAGTGACCCCTAACAGCCCCCCTGGTGTCCAGAATGTTGAACGCATGCGACGTCTTCAGGACGTGGTCGAACCCTCAGAGGCACGGGAATGGTGTGAATGAGTGGACAGGGGGAATGGGTAGGTCAGGGGGGTGGCATTGCAAAAACCAGCAGCATGTTGAGCGCATGGGACGTCTTGAGTGGTGGATGGCGAAGGCGTCTTGAGCGCATGGGACCCATGCGCATGGGACGTCTTGGGACGTCTTGGGTCGAAGCTGCAGGCATGTGGTGGATGGCGAAGGCATGTGGTGGATGGCGAAGGCATGTGGTGGATGGCGAAGGCATGTGGTGGATGGCGAAGGCATGTGGTGGATGGCGAAGGCATGTGGTGGATGGCGAAGGCATGTGGTGGATGGCGAAGGCATGTGGTGGATGGCGTGAATGGGTTCAGGGGGATGAGCATGCATGGCACCTACAGCAGCATGTTGAGCGCGTGGGACGTCTTGAGCGCGGGTTGCATGCGGGGGTTGCTGCTTTTCAATCAAAGCGTGTGCCTCAGCGTCTTAGAGTTCGAGGATGTTCGATGTCCCCCTCGAGCATGTTAAAGCAGCTCATTCAACCCCCCAACCCCCACCCGTTACTCACGCGGGGATGGCCAGCTGCTTATCGATCAGAGCCTGCGCTTCAGCATCATAAAGTCGAACCGCTGCTTCACCCGCTGCTTCTCTGTGTCCGCCTCCTGCATGTTGAAGCAGCTCATCTCCTGCTCGCCCTTGCATGCTCAATGCCACTAGAGCCCCTCTTTCCCCTTGCATTACTCACGCGGGAATGGCCAGCTGCTTGTCAATGAGCGCCTGTGTCTCGGCTCATAGACATCAAATCGCTGCTTGACCCTTTCGGTGTCCGCCTCTTGCATGTCCGCCTCTCCCTCTCGTTCTCCCTTGCATGCTCAGACCCACAAATTACTCACGCGGGAATAGCCAGCTGCTTGTCGATCAGAGCCTGCGCTTCAGCATCGTAGAGGTCGAAACGCTGCTTGACCCTTTCGGTGTCTGCTTCAAGCATATTGAAGCAGCTCATCTCCCTCTCGTTCTCCAGAAACAGCTCCCCGTAGGTCACCCCTGGCGCGTAGGCTATGCGCTTGAAATGGTCCACGCCCTGTCAAACGGGGAGAGTGGGGGGGAACAGGGATGGTTGGCAGGGGGGAGATGCCTGACTGTGCGTGCGCTGTCACTCCAGGGGCGTAGGCGATGCGCGTGAAATGGTCCACGCCCTGGAGAGGTGGTGGGGGTGGCGTGGAAGGGGAAGCAAATCAGATGAAGCACCTCATCTCTCTCTCGCTCTCCAGAAACTGCTCCCTGATTACGTCATTCCTTGTGTGTAGGCGATGCGCTCAAGGCCATATGTGACCTCCACTGACACTGGCGACAGTGGCATTGCTGCTGGTTGCTGCTGAGGATTCTCACACATGTTGAGTTGAATTGGCATGGCATGGCACTCACCTGCAGACTCATGATGATGCGCTCCAGGCCGTACGTGATCTCCACTGACACTGGTGACAGTGGCATTGCTGCTGGTTTGTGTCTGAGGAGGATTCTCACACACTTTGACGCAAGCGCGGCACACAGAAGGCATGGCACGTACCTGCAGGCTCATGATGATGCGCTCCAGGCCGTACGTGATCTCCACTGACACTGGTGACAGTGGCATTGCTGCTGGTTTGTGTCTGAGGAGGATTCTCACACACTTTGACGCAAGCGCGGCACACAGAAGGCATGGCACGTACCTGCAGGCTCATGATGATGCGCTCCAGGCCGTACGTGATCTCCACTGACACTGGTGACAGTGGCATTGCTGCTGGTTTGTGTCTGAGGAGGATTCTCACACACTTTGACGCAAGCGCGGCACACAGAAGGCATGGCACGTACCTGCAGGCTCATGATGATGCGCTCCAGGCCGTACGTGATCTCCACTGACACTGGTGACAGTGGCATTGCTGCTGGTTTGTGTCTGAGGAGGATTCTCACACACTTTGACGCAAGCGCGGCACACAGAAGGCATGGCACGTACCTGCAGGCTCATGATGATGCGCTCCAGGCCGTACGTGATCTGCACTGCCACTGGCGATAGCGGCATGGGTGTATAGCATAATGCCGCGCTCTCCTGCAGACAAGGTACCTGCCACCAGACTCATACCTGCAGGCTCATGATGATGCGCTCCAGGCCGTATGTGATTTCCACTGATACTGGCGATAGCGGCATGCCCCCTGCCTGCACGCAATGCAACGGCATGCACACATACATGCACATGCATACACATATACATGCACACACCGGCACACATAGTGTATTCATTCATGCGGATTTTTATCCCCACATGCAGCAGCACAGCATGCATGCAAGCAAACACACAGGCATGGGGTCAACGGCGTGCAGTGCAGCAACAGGAAAGATCGGAGCAGATAAGGCTCGCTGAAAGCACCAAGATTGCACACGGTTGAAACTCCCAGTTGTCCTGCACACCACACCCATCCCGACCGCACTCTCTCTCCGCACCCACCCATCCCAACCGCACTGCTCCGCACTGTACTGCACCAGCTAGAAGTACGTAAACTGCGCAAACCCATTCCAACCGCACTCTCTCTCCGCACCCACCCACCCCAACCGCATTGCACCGCACTGCACCTGCTGGAAGTAGGTGAACTGGGTGATCTCCATGCCGTCGAGCCACACCTCCCAGCCCAGCCCCCACGCGCCGAGCACGGGCGACTCCCAGTTGTCCTCCACACCCATCCCAACCACACTCTCTCCCCATTCCCACCCATCCTAACCGCACTGCACCGCACTGTACCACACTGCACCAAACTGCACCTGCTGGAAGTAGGTGAACTGGGTGATCTCCATGCCGTCAAGCCACACCTCCCAGCCCAGCCCCCACGCCCCAAGCACGGGCGACTCCCAGTTGTCCTCCACAAACCGCACGTCGTGCTGCCGGCTGTCTATTCCCAATGCTGCTAGACTGCCTAAGTAGAGCTCCTGGGCGTTGCCTGGATCGGGCTTGAGAATCACCTGCGGGGAGCGGGGAGGGGGCAGGACAGAGCGTGTGGGGGAAGGAAAGGGAAGCTCATCCCAGCCCCCTATGCACGGGCGACTCCCAGTTGTCCTCCACGAATCGCACGTCGTGCTGCCGGCTGTCAATGCCCAGCGCTGCTAGGCTTCCCAGGTAGAGCTCCTGCGCGTTGCCTGGGTCTGGTTTTAGAATAACCTGAGGAAAGAGGTAACATGGGAGGGGAGGAGGAAGACTCCCAGTTGTCCTCCACGAACCGCACGTCGTGCTGCCGGCTGTCGATGCCCAGCGCTGCCAGGCTTCCTAAATACAGCTCCTGGGCGTTTCCTGGGTCTGGTTTGAGAATGACCTGAGGGGTAACATGGGGGGAGGAGAGGACGGGGGTGACGTGACAGCGCTTGCTGTCGATGCCCAGAGCTCCTGTGCATTCCCGGGGTCAGGCTTCAGGATGACCTGAGGGGTGACACGGGAGGAGAGGAGGGGAGAGGGTGGGAGGAGCAGGGTGACAATGCCAGCTGTCAATGCGGAGCGTCACCAAGCTTCCCAGGTAAAGCTCCTGGGCGTTGCCGGGGTCGGGTTTGAGAATCACCTGTGCGGGCGGGTAAAGGGAGGGGAGAGAGAGGAGGGGTTGTGAGGCAACGCAATGCTCAGAGCCGCCAGGCATCCCACCTGGAACGGCTCCTGCGCCCTCACCTGGAACTGTGGTTTGGAGAATTCTCAAAAACCGGATCAGTGCCCTCAACTGGAACTGTGGTTTGGAGAATTCTCAAAAACCGGATCAGTGCTTTCACCTGGAACTGCGTGTGGCGCTGCACGCGGTTGGGATTATCCCCGAAGCGGCTGTCGTCGGGGAGCATGGAGGGCTGGGGATGCCCCGGGAGGCAATGCACCTGAGAGCACCTGAGTGAGACCCTGACCTGGAACTGCGTGTGGCGCTGCACGCGGTTCGGGTTGTCGCCGAAGCGGCTGTCGTCGGGGCGCATGGAGGGCTCCACGTAGGCCACTCGCCACGCCTCGGGACCCAGCACGCGCAGGAAGGTGGCGGGATTCATGGTGCCCGCGCCCACCTCCGTGCTGCTCGGCTGTAGCACCGCACAGCCCACGCCCGCCCAGTATTCCTATTAAGGTAGAAGGCGGGGGGAAACGGGGGAAGGAGCGCGTGTGAGAGACGCCTCGGGGCAGGAAGGTGGCGGGATTCATGGTGCCCGCTCCCACCTCCGTGCTGCTCGGCTGCAATACGGCGCACCCTACTCCTGCCCAGTACTTTCGTCGTGCGATGGGTTGGAGGAGGTGGAGGAGACGCGCATGGGGGAATGAGGCCGTTGGGACGTGAGTCTGGTGCAGCATGGAACAGCATTCCTTTGAAACACGGATTCTTCGGACGCGTGGTAACCCGATCACGTCAAAACGTCACTAAACTGTGATCAGACGTCGCGGCATTAAGTGAAACGGCGGCATCGCGCTCAATGCACACTAAACGCGGCTATACGGCACGCCATTGGTAACCCGGTTACACCTGGAGTCGCTGAATTGCGTCCTGAAACGTCAGCGTCCCGGCTTTAGGAGTCTTCCCGCTCTCCCCAGCCCCACTGCTCCGCAGCTGTTCCCCTTCCGCGCGTGTCCCATCCGCGGCTACGGCCGCTGGCGCAGCTTCCGCCGATACAGACGTCGCGGAGACCTCCGCGCGCGGAGAAAGGAAATGCGCGAGGCGGGAAGAGCTTCCGCGAGAGTAGCTCGGCGGAAGCGTGAGCGGGCGCCCGCGGAGGGCGCTCGGGGGAAGCGCACGAAGGGAGCGGCGGAGGAAGCGCGGCGCTAACGGCTGGAGCGTTGGCGCGGCTAGTGACATTCGGGAGAGGATTCGCGACGCCATTGCGTCTATCTAGCGTCAGTTACCCACCCCTGCTGGCTCGCGAACCGCGTGATACTTGGAAAGCACTACTCTGCAGCAGGGCTCGCAAGGGAACCCTGGCATCCTCACCAAAACCCTAGCAGAGCAAGAATTCTGAGGGTGCTGGGGTATTCGCTATTGGGTTGCTGCGTTTTTAGCGATTAACGAGATGATACCAGTTATTCTTCAGACAGTACAGACGAAAGCTGGTTTGCTGATTTGGAGGCAGATCACATCACATGGCTAAATTAGACCTCCTGCATGACATTAAGAAACAGTGTTAATGATACAACTAGAAACTAGCAACAAGCAAGAAAGGGATCGAATGGAGACATAAAAAACTCATAAATGTAGCATACGTTATTGTAGCATGGATGTGTAACGTTCTCTGTTGTGAACTGTATGTATTACAGACCGTTACCCAGGCGCATGACTTCGCTGCCCAGACTATATGTTTAACAGATTGAGAAAGCTTGCTTTCTGTTCTTGCAAAGGCAACTGGCTTCATTACAATTGCAGTAATACAACATTCTCGTCCAACTATGGATCATACAAATATTGGTACAACTAGGGTGGGTGGGTGGGTGGGGAGTGAAACTGCAAAGTTCTGAAATGAAGTCGTGGGTGGAGGCCGAATGGCCTCCAACCCTCGTTATGTACTCGGCGAATTGTAATTCGCCGTTGCTTTGCTTCGTTACAGGCAGCTGCGCTTTCACAATACGCATTTTTAGAAAGTGTTACACACTTTCGAAAAATTTCATATTGAGAAAGCTTGCTTTCTGTTCTTGCAAAGGCAACTGGCTTCATTACAATTGGGTCTTCTGAGACATGTGCAGCTGGAACGTTGAGGACGTGGTGAGTGTAGTTGCGGTTGATGACATGGACGAAATGCCGGGAGGGGCGGCGTTGGTGAGTTGTGGGCTCCATGTCGATGGCGTCCGAGGTGCTGTGCGCGAAGGTTGCTCGTGCTGTTGATGTGGATGTCCCTTGTTGTTGTTGCACCAGGATAGTGGTTGAAACTGGTGGTTCCCGTACTCTACACGCCCAATATACGGTACAACTTTCATCTTGGGATTTAGCTTCCATGTGCTCTGCTTTACCTTACAATTCCAGTCGTTTGATGTTCCCGGCCGGAATAACTACAACGTGGGTGGATGTAAGGGTTTGAAGTGGTAGTCGGGTGAGTGTGGTATTCGTCATGTTGGTTGGGTAGGCATGGTCACACAATTGCCGCCTTTTACTCCCAAACGCCCATTCAGGTGACAGCATGCAAGTCGTTTCAACGCGTGCTTTTGCTTCCCTGTCGGGTGTTATCGAACAAAGTGGGATAAGAATGATGGCCAAAATCGATCCCATTGTCATTGCCCTTATTTGGAAAAACACAGAATGCGGTTTAAAAGTGTGTGAACACCAACTTGAGTCAAGTCAAGATTTTAAAACCAACTGGAGGTGCACTTGAACAGTTGCTTCCCGAGATTTCAGTGGGGCTCCAACCAGCCTCTTTTTTTTTTTTGTCATATTAAAAAGTAAATGGGGTACATAAAAAACCAAGGATGATCCAGTCATACAAACGAGCACATTGTTCGAAAAAAATTGCCCATTTTACGGTAAGGGCAACGTGTGGACCTTCGAGTCTCTTCCCCCCTGGGGGACGGCTCTCAGGCCACGCTAGGACCCTCGGTCCCCTTCCCCCCCTGGGGGACGGCTCTCAGGCCACACGGGGACCCTCGGTCCCCTTCCCCCCCTGGGGGACGGCTCTCAGGCCACACGGGGACCCTCGGTCCCCTTCCCCCCCTGGGGGACGGCTCTCAGGCCACACGGGGACCCTCGGTCCCCTTCCCCCCCTGGGGGACGGCTCTCAGGCCACACGGGGACCCTCGGTCCCCTTCCCCCCCTGGGGGACGGCTCTCAGGCCACACGGGGACCCTCGGTCCCCTTCCCCCCCTGGGGGACGGCTCTCAGGCCACACGGGGACCCTCGGTCCCCTTCCCCCCCTGGGGGACGGCTCTCAGGCCACACGGGGACCCTCGGTCCCCTTCCCCCCCTGGGGGACGGCTCTCAGGCCACACGGGGACCCTCGGTCCCCTTCCCCCCCTGGGGGACGGCTCTCAGGCCACACGAAGACCCTCTGTCCCTTCTTTTTATTGGGAGACGTCCTTGGGTGCGCTTTGAGTTGATCCTGTCGTAAATGTAGTTCTCCCGCGCGACCAGTAGAGTCTTTAAAAATGTCTTTCCACACCCGTGGTGTTGAGCCTATTTTTCTGCCACCAAGTAACAATAGGAGCATAGAGATTAATGGAAAATAATCGAAGAGATCATAACGGAAGAAAATTTTAAAACTTAAAAGACTTGCAGCACGTAGGCAACAAATGACGCCCAGTCAAACGACTTAGGCGCTGCAGTAGCAATTTCGTAACTGCCGCTCCAGCGGCCATTTCGTCCCTCGAGCGCTGGTGGCGATTTTGCCACTGGCGCACGTGGCACTTTCGCCACATGCGCGCGTGTGGCGATTTCGTCCCTGGCACGCGGCACTTGCGCCAGTGACGATTTCGTCCAGATCGCGCGCCACTGGCGCCAGTGGCGATTTCGTCCCTGGCGCGCGCCACTGGCGCCATTGGCATTTCGTCCCTAGCGCGCGCCACTGGCGATTTCGTCTCTGGCGCGCCTGTTGGCGTTTTGTCCGACGCACTTCGATCTCAGTTGAGCGTCCGCCAGTTACAGTCGCACTCGTGAGAGTGTGCCCTTCATGGAAAATCAAGCGCCTGGGTTGAACGTGCAAGTGAGTGTTAGCTTAGAATATAGTTTCTAGCGACAAAGGAAACGGTCGAGGTGGTTGGACGAGAATTGGAGTGAAACTGCAAAGTTCTGAAATGAAGTCGTGGGTGGAGGCCGAATGGCCTCCAACCCTCGTTATGTACTCGGCGAATTGTAATTCGCCGTTGCTTTGCTTCGTTACAGGCAGCTGCGCTTTCACAATACGCATTTTTAGAAAGTGTTACACACTTTTGAAAAAAATCATATTGTTGTTACCCAGGCGCAGGACTTTGCTGCCAAATCCCCAGGCTCTCTGGCGACAATTACCTCCATGAATGATGCATGTCTGTGCTCGAAAGGATGCAAGTCAGCCACGTTACCCCATGGCAGGCGCACTTTATCGCCTCGAACACCGCTGCTGTGTCAGCGGCCGATCCGCACCGTCCAAATGCGTCGATCAGACCGTTGTAGGTGCGCCGATTCGGGCGGCAGCCGGATCTCCGCTTCGCCTCTACTGTAGCCTCGACTTTCGGCAGCATTTGGGCCTGACCGTAGCAGCAAATCAGGGTGTTCCACGTTATCACGTCGGGCTTGATCCCGCTCGCTGCCAGCTCATCCATCACCCATGCCACGTCAGCAAAGAGATTGTTCTTCCTGTAAATATCCAGCAGAATGTTGAAGGCCTGCTGTAGCAGGAGAAAAGATTTGGGAAACAGCCCTGCTGTAGCATCGTCTCGTAAGTTTCCCTCGCTTTTTCAACCTGCCCGCCCTTCCCGTATGCTGCAATCAGGGAAGTGTAGGAAAAAACATCTGGCTTATGGAGGGAGGATGAGATCCTTGTTAGTGTCCTTCTTCCTCAAAAGGTCTTGCTCTGATCCCTCAACCCCTGCCCCTGATTTCTCGCTCCCTCTCTCCTCCCTCTGCGCGCTCCCACTCTCAATTACACTACTCAAGCCCTCTTCCCTACCTTCCACCATTCCCATTCCCACTGCCAATCCTCCACCCCGTCCCCTCCCCCTTTCCCTCCCCCCTCCGCCTCCCCCTCCACCACAGTCCCTTGCGCACGCATGCGCTAATCATCTCGTTTTAAGTCACCAGATTCGTTTGCACGCCTGCCGCCAGCATGGATTCGAGTACCGAATGGACGAGTGCCACGTGGCCTGCCTTCCCGTAAACATCCAGCTGCACGTTGTACGTGACACGTGTCGGTTTCAGCCCTGCATGTACTGGGCGGCTGCTGACACTGTAGCTGCTGCCGCCGCTGCTGGAACTGTAGCTGTCGTTTGTCGTGTAGTGGCTGGTACTGTGTCGGGCAGAGTCACTATCGCTACTGTCACTGCTGCTATCCTCTGCTGCTGCTGCTGCTGCTGCTTCTGGGGCCAGGGATGCTGAAACTGCTGCTGCTGGTAAGGCACCCTGTGTTATCAACACTCCATTCCCTCCCTCCTGTGTCACTACTGATCCTGCTCCTGCGTCACTGCACCAGCAACACAAGGCACATCCCCCCCTCCTCATTCTCAATCGTATCAGCACACGCCGACTTTTGAGGAGCCTTATATGTTGGTCCTGTCGCTGCAGCAGCAACACAAGGCACATCCCCCGCCTCCTCATTCTCAATCGCATCAGCACCCGCGGAGATCATCGTATTATACGTGTACTCATCGGGGGTCAATCCAACGGTCCAAATCTCCTCCAGCAGCACCGCCAAGTGGTGGAAACACCCGCGCTTGCGCGCATACACAGCAGATCATCCGCTTCCTGCGCGGGGATGGGGGGCAGATAAGGAGTGAAAGCGACGGGCAGTGAGAGAGCGCGCTCATCATCGCGGTGTCGAGCATCATTCGCCACGAGCGCGCGGAACAGATCGCCTGCTTCCCGCACGGGGAGTGCGCGGAAAGGGTAGGGGAAGGGGTGGAGGGGAGTGGGGGAAGGGCAGCGGGGAATCAACGGAGGGGAGGGGGACGGGGAGCGAGAGCGGGTCTATAATGACAATAAACGCTTATACAATCGTATCCTTCCGTTACAGTCACATCATGACGCCGCCCCCCCCACCCCCCCCCCTCCCCCTCGTTTACACTCACATTCGGGTGGTCGCACCCACGCGCCCAGTGAAACACCGCAAGCGCATCCCGCCACTGCCCCTTGTTCCCCAACCCCTCCAAAATCGTCATAATATCACTCGCGGATATCTCCTCCGATGATTTCCCTTCCCCTTTCTCCGTCAATTCCCCGCCCGTTCCGCGGAGCTCCAACGCGCGTCCGCGCTCATCGCATTCGGGACCATCCGCGCGCCCATCGCCCGCCCGCCCCTGCTCACGACGCAGATCACCGATCCATTCTCCCAAATTCCCCGCCCTCCCCTGCTACCTCTCCGCCTCCGCTTCCGCAGATGCGCTGAGCACCCGTTCCGCCTTCCCCCGCTCCCCGTCCGCGCCGAGCAGCAGGCGGCGGAACGCGCGCTGGCCGGCGGGGAAAATCTCCGAGTTCCACGGCTGCCCCAGCCGCCGCTCCTTTCCCAAACGCACCCTCCGCCGATGTCTCTCCGTCAGTCAAACAACCCTCATCTTCCGCCCGGGCTCCCCCCTCCCCCCGCCGCTGCTCCGCCTGCCCGTCCCTGCCTCTGCGCGTCTAAGCTTCGCCCGCTGTCGTCTCCTTTTCCTCCGCGGGTTGCGTCGGCGGAAGGTGCAAGGCGGAGCACGCTGCACGGGCGATCCTTCTCGCCCCTGCACCGACATTCTGCACGAAGACTGGCGACAAATTGCGAGTTGTCGCGCATTTCAGCCGATTCGTCGCATTGGGTCGCAGCAGCGACGGTTTGCGCGAGAGCGTCGCAATTCGAGCCGCTCTAACGATCATGGGAGCATGCGAAACGTGGGAGCGGCGGCGGCGGAGGTGGTGGCAACGGTGGAGGAAGACTGACTGTGTCGGCGATAAGAATGGTTGACTGTTAAATGCGGACATCGCAAAAATGTTGGGGGTGTTGAAAATGGGGTGGCCCATCGGACCACTTTTCTCGATGGTGTCCAATCGTTGTAAGTTGCTGTGTATAGCCTGTGCCTGTGTTCCGGGGTGAGGTGGCAATTTTGGTGCCTGTTTTGCCAATTCTGGGGCTGTTCGCCAGCACCGTTATAGCAAAAAACGACGGGATAACGACGGGATCAGGAAGGTGGGTCTCGCCTTCCTGATCCCGTCAGTTAGAGTTCGTTAACCTCCGTCAGCCTGGTCAGCCCGTGAAAAAAGTGCCGAGCCTCACCTACCGTCCAAACCAACAAACAAAGTGGGCGTCTGGCGAACGCCCACTTTTGTCCACCAAATCTAACGCTTCGACGGCATATGGAAGCGGGGACGAAACTTCGTCCCCAGGCAAAACACCATCCCCTAGCCATGCCATCGCCATGCTGCGTTTTTCAAAGCACAGCGATGGCACAGCCGTCGCATTGCCGTTCAAAAGGGATCGAAGGGAAGGTGGGGATGGAGGTTCCCGATGCGGTTGAGAAATTTCTCAACCGCAGGCGCAGAAGTTTCCTGAACGGCATTACGGCCAAACCTCGGAGGTGGGTTCCACCTCCGTTTCCATATGCGGTCGCGATGCCGATGCCATCATTTTCATTTCAAAATAGGATTTGCTGGCGAACAGCACCTCTGAGTGCAAGAAATTGTGCTTGGTTGTTTCCTGGAATGTGCCTGCGCTTGATCTACGAATGAGATTCCAAGCGATTTGACGAATGGTGAAGATCGCGCTTACAAAACACTCAGTTTCGCGCGTCGCATGTGCTTCGAAGAATGTGCTTTCGGGGAGTGTCGTGAGTCGTTCGATGATTCAAGAATCGACGGCTCGGTTTTCTGGACGCGGCACGACTCTGCGCGCGGCAATTTTAGGGAGGGAATTGTTACAGTCAGGCGATTTATATAGTTTTATGGGCAGCGCGGGCGCTCTGACAAGGTCTGAACGGCTACTGGCGAGAAGTTCGCGAGAGTAACGCGAGGTCAGGTTTCGCCAACATCCACTTCTTGCGAATGTTTGGCATGCTGGTGTTGGCGAACCATGCCATAATTCTCAATACATGCCAATTCAGGAGTGTTACAGTATTGCTTTTCTTGAACATCTCAGAAATCTGTAAACACAATCTCCTTCTAAAACAAATGATTGCACTGAATTACAAATGTGTGAGTGCAAACAGTCACCAGATGGTTTTTTTATAATTTCTTAGACAAATACAGTTGTATATTTGTTAAAAAAATGAATTATAGATGTAATGCAGCATAGCAAACACGCATGTCAACCCTAAAACCCAGCAAACTTTGCAGCCTTCCAACACTGCATAAAGGCAGCATGTCGACACTACAATGTGCTGCGCTGTGCTGTGCTGCGCTGTGCTGTGCTGCGCTGTGCTGTGCTGTGCTGCGCTGTGCTGTGCTGTGCTGTGCTGTGCTGCGCTGCACTGTGGTATGCTATGCTGTGCTGCGCTGTGCTGCGCTGTGCTGCGCTGTGCTGCGCTGCGCTGTCCGCGCTGCGATGTGCTGTGCTTCTGTATGCTGTGCTGTGCTGTGCTGCGCTGTGCTGTGCTGCGCTGTGCTGTGCTGTGCTGTGCTGTGCTGTGCTGTGCTGTGCTGCGCTGTGCTGCGCTGTGCTGCGCTGTGCTGCGCTGCGCGGTGCTACGCTGCGCTGTGCTGTGCTATGTTGTGTTGTCTGTGCTGCGCTATGCTGTGCTGCGCTGTGCTGTGTTGCGCTGTGCTGTGCTGTGCTGTGCTGTGCTGTATGTGTTGCGCTGTGCTGTGCTGCGCTGTGCTGTGCTGTGCTGCGCTGCGCTGTGCTGTGCTGTGCTGCGCTGTGCAGTGCAGTGCTGTGCTGTGCTGCGCTATACTGTGCTGCGCTGTGCTGTGCTGTGCTGTGCTGCGCTGCGCTGTGCTGTGCTGTGCTGTGCTGTGTTGCGATGTGCTGCGCTGTGCTGCGCTGGGCTGTACTGCGCTGTGCTGTGCTGTGCTGTGCTGTATGTGCTGCGCTGTGCTGCACTGTGCTGTGCTGTGCTGCGCTGTGCTGCGCTGCGCTGTCCCGCGCTGCGATGTGCTGTGCTGCGGTATGCTGTGCTGCGGTATGCTGTGCTGCGCTGTGCTATGTTGCGCTATGCTGTGCTTTGCTGTGCTGCGTTGTGTTGTGCTGCGCTGTGCTGTGCTGTGCTGTGCTGCGCTGTGCTGTTCTGCGCGGTGCTGTTCTGCGCTGTGCTGTGCTGTGCTGCGCTGCGCGGTGCTACGCTGCGCTGTGCTGCGCTGTGCTGCGCTGTGCTGTGTTGTGTTGTCTGTGCTGCGCTGTGCTGCGCTGCGCTGTGCCGTGCTGCGCTGTGCTGTGCTGCGCTATGCTGTACTGCGTTGTGCTGTGTTGCGCTATGCTGTGCTGTGCTGTGCTGTGCTGTGCTGCGCTGTGCTGTGCTGTGCTGCGCTGTGCTGTGCTGCTCGCACCAAGGCGGCTTGCCAATACTGCAACAGGGCGGCCTGCCTGTTGACTGGAAATGGCACCGCATTTGCTTGGGCAAAGCAGACTTCGTAGTGGGGCGCGCAGAAGTCGACGCAGACTGTGCTCAGAATTCGAGATCGACAGCACACACAGTTCGACGTCGACTCGTCCGCATAGTTCGACGTTGACCTGTCCGCATAAGTCGACCTCGACCGTCTGCATAAGTTGACGTCGACCGCTTGCCGAACTCGACGCATATGTCGATGAAGCTGTCTAATCAACATGGTTCTGCGAATGTGTTGGTCGAGCATCGTTGCAGAAGACGCTGGCCGACGAGCTCGCAGAGGACGACGAGCCCCGTCGATGAGCATTGGTCGACGGGCTCTACTCGACTAGGCTGACGCTGTTCGGCGGAGCATCGTCGAGTTGGTCGACGGGGTCGCCAGACTGCGAAATCCAGCTGGTGGGCGAATTTCGCCCAGGAGGTTTTTCTGTGGTCAACCTGCGCAACGGCATCACGTGCTTGACAGTGCACGGCTGGCAAAACCGTCGTCACGTATTATACCTGGCACATGCGCAATGTACATATACTAACAAAAGACACATGAGCCTCCTATATTGGAACATATTGGTATAAGTAGCTGAAGATTGTATAAGAGTTTGAACCATTGAATAGATTATTGACATGGAGATGCAACACAGCTGTGAAGTTGCATCATCACATTTACTGTCAAACATATATGCTGCATATTGTCTAGGCTGTAGTGGGGTAGCCCATATGGGGTACAGCCCAATTAGGGTTTACTACTTGTACTCTTGCATGCTGCTAGTTCATCCATCCCTGCTGCTAGATTCTGACATGGTTTCAGAGCACTAAGGTCCGTAGGACCGTTTTTTTTTCGGGCCCACCTACCGCTGCGGTTACCGCGCTACCCCACGTACCTGCCTGCCTTGCCTTGCCTTGTGACGTGCTGCACTATGTGCGCCGTCCAGCAGCCCTAGCGCTGCCTCCTGCTGCCCTAGGCCAGCGCGCTGCCCCTAGAGGCCCGTAAGGCCCACGCGCCGCCCCTAGAGGCCCGTAAGGCCCGCGCAGCCCGCTGCAGCCGCGCGCAGCCCGCACAGAGCCCGCGCAGCCCGCGCCGAGCCGCGCGCAGCCCGCACAGAGCCCACGCAGCCCGCGCCGAGCCGCG